AAAAAAAAACTCATCTACATCTTGGATGACCTGAAGGTAAGTACATTTTCAGCTATTTCTTCTTTCATTCCTTTTATATAGTTGTTTCATAGCCTAATATCTTGAAAACATTGACTGTTACTTTATCGTTTGCGTCTCACCTCCGTAGAAGAGTCCAGTGGCAGTGCACATTCTCCACTGGCCTTGGTACATGCCAGGAACAGCTGGACTGCGCATCTGCACGCTCACGTCTGAGATCTCCTGTGGGTCCAGGGACCGCACCATCACCATGTTCACATGACCAAACTGATCCCCGCCAACATACTTCAGACACACACCCGGGGGCCATGACTCTGGACCTGCAATGAAGACAGGAACAACATTAAAGTTTGACAAAAAGGATTTAACGTGATGTGGCTAGATCATCCATCCTTAAAAGAAGCAAAACTATTATTGATATTCTGATATCAGTTCATTTTAGGAAATATAATGTATAAAGTGACACAAGTATGACCTGAAACAAGTATGAAATAAAAGTAAAGACTGCTAATAATAAATAAATCTAAGTTAAACTAGGTTTATTACAGTTCAAAATGACTACTGAATACATAAATAATAAGACAAAACATTTAAGTCATCCCAAGAGATTCCACAATGTCTTAATGCTGTTTCTGAATTACAATCTGTTAGAGCATCAGCCTCTTCATATTTACAACCAGATTGAGGAAACACTCACCTGTGTTCTGTATCCTCCATGTCTTTGTGAACTGTGTGTCTGGAGGAACGGACTCCCCCTCTCCAATCGTCACATCTTCCACAAAAGACATTGACGGCGTGTTGATGTTCGGACTCTCAAAATCATAATATGCACCAATAGCTGCTTGCAGGTTCCTGATAAGACACGAATACAGGCAGATCAACATTGGAGATTCAGGGACAATGTAATTGCCAAGAGCAAAACAACATGCCCAAATTAAATGTATGAAAAGCAGATTAATCATCAGCCAATAGTGCCAACAAACATGTAACTTACATTTATGCATTTAGCAAACTTTATCCAGTGACTTACAATAGAGGAACATAAGCAATTCATCACAGAGCCAACAAGATTCATGATGTACAATAGCAGGTTTATTATAAAGCTGAACTTGGAAGAAGCATGGCATACAGCTCGTGTCAATCCCAACATCTTAAAAGTACCACAATACCACTTATATACTCCCTTTTTTGACATATATACCCTATAAATGGTTCATATCATGTCAATAAATAAACAGACAATATTAACAACTTACACACACAAACATATATATATATATA